CTTTAGGAGTCTTGGAGCCTGACTTTCTATAAGGTGGAGCATGCGGAACACCTCCAGATGTACTTATGTTTCGAGAGGAGTTTTTCGTAACAAGTGATGGTTTGTTGGCATTCTTACTCTCAGCAGGCTTATTGAATACAAAGTATTCTTCCCCATCATTAGTCTCAACCCTGCGAAATTTGTTCATCGTGGTGAGGTTACTACGTTTGGGGGGAAATTTCTTAGAACAACTTGCAGAAGTTCTAGTCATTTTAACATCTTTCGATGAGGCTTTATTTACAGGGGTACTGGTATCTAAATCAGTTCCTAGTTCCATTGGCAGGTGTGGTTGTTGTGTAGTTTGCTGAATGCTAGTTTCAGCACTAGGTGTCTGTTGCTGTGCACGATCCTTTTTTGGTAAATCAAAGCTAGAGGAGGTGACCAGGTTATTACTACGCATTATTCTGCGCTGACACGGTGTTTTATCCTGAGCTACGGTTATAGACTTATAACTGCTATTCAGTCTTAAGTGATCCTGACATTTAGTAAACTTACTAGCATCAAGGGAATTACTGAATTTAAAAATGATTGGGCAATTAGCCTGGTTAGACTTTTTACGAAGTCGTTTGCATTCACATGGAACACTAGCCATGCCGCAACAAATCAGGATTTTGTGTCTTACAGTTTTCAGGGGCAGAGAATCTGGGACGTTGTAAACTATAGCTTGGTGAGAAGAGGTTATACGCTTCATCACCTCCGTAGCCAAGCAGTCAATCAGATTTTCAGCTTTATTTAGGTTGTCTGGAGATATTTTAGGATGCCTTTCTAAAAGACAGGCTATTGGGTCTAAATTCAAAAGCTTATTTTGAGTTACATCCAGTAAACACTTAACCTGGCCAATATCAGACCGGCTCTCCGTGGTATTTGAGATTGGCAGTGACATACTATCAAACTGATCTAATTTTTTCTGAATTTCACTTACTTGCCTCTGCATATCTTTCAAAAGGAGGTTTAGTTTACAGAACTCAGAGTTCTCTAACAGAACATCTTTCACCTGTATCACAGGAGTGAGATCTGCACTCAAACCATTTTGAGAGCTAGTAGTTGATACTGTATTACCAGGCGGTAATGCAGTTATAACCGAATTTAAGCCACTATCTAAAACAATTGTGTTTCTACGAACACGTTTTTTAGAGATTTGGACCATAATTTCAAGAATTATATGACAATAAGCAGTAAATAAATTTCAGAGCAAACACGTGCAAAAATGTCACCAATTTCGAACGTACCGCCAAAGAGTAGAAGCATGATCTGTTTAGGCGTCCATTATTATCTTTTTCAAGATAAAGATCTACGCCCTCATAAAAATCGGAAATATCTCGAGCCTTCAAATTGTATATTGCTGTTCCTGCAGAATGGGGCGATTCACCTTAGTAGCCGCCACCATATCTACTGATCAGCTGACGGCACTCTCCCTTTTTCGGCTGCAGCGAACAGTAGCAGCACTCGCTGAACAGTTCATCCAGGAAATAGTTCACACACTGACTCTGTCTCACCTCAGAGCCCCTCCAAACATAACGTAGGGATAGTAACAAATATCCGTGTTAACCTCTCCTCCAATAACTCTGGTTTACTAACAATTATGCTCCTGAATGTTAGATCTCTCCTTAATAAAACAACAACGCTTCGTTGCCTGGCATACGTAGGACGGTCAACACTAATAATGGTGACTGAAACCTGGCTTACTACTGATATACCTGACACAAAGCTAGTAATAGACAACTATGATATCTATAGGAACGATAGAGTTGACAAAAGAGGAGGCGGCTGCTTAATATATGCCTATAAATCCACTAACTCCAATACTTTCAATAACCCAAATACTGACAAACTCCCAGAATCTAAGTGGATAAGCATCCACACAAACGAAAGTGAAATTCTCGTGGGATGTATATACAGACCCCCCAATAGCCCTGAAATGACTGATATAACTATTGCAGAAATACTAGAGCATGTATCCGCGCTGGACTTCTACTACAAAGTAGTATGTGGAGATTTCAACTTACCTGGAGTAAACTGGGATACCTGTACAGGACCAAGAATCCATGAAGAGCTACTACAAGCTATAGACATAGGAGGATGGAGGCAGTGCGTACGCCTCCCTACAAGGAACCAAAATACTCTTGACTTAATCCTCTGTCATAACATAGAGCCCATCTCGATAGAGTTGGGAAATAAACTCGATAACAGTGATCACAACATATTGTACTGCACGCTACCCCTCCGACTAAAAACTAAATACACACCTAAAAATTCCCCGGTGCGCTATCAATATAGGAATGCTGATTGGGAATTCCTATAAGATCTGTTGAGAAGTTCTGACTGGGAAGAATACTTCATCAACAATGACTTAGAAGTATCACTTGAGATTTTCTACAAAACAGTTGGCTCAGCAAGAGACACAATAGTGCCCCTAAAATCTGCCCTAAAGACACCAACTCCATTTATTGACCGGAAAACGCGACAAAACTGAAGAAATTGGAAAGGAAATACCATTTATTTAAGGAATTTAATGCGTTAAGCCAAATACCTGAAACTCCTAAACTGCTTGAAGAAAAACACAAAATGAAGTCACAACATGAGGAAAATAAAGCGCTTATGGGTAACACCAAAACTCAGGAACTTTGTAGGATGTTTCAAAAACGTCTAAAAAGCAGTAAAGATCATAATGTAAGCATCTTGGAACATAGGGGTGTAATATACAACGATCCCCAGGCTATAAGTGAACTCCTCAGTGAGTGGTTTTGCAATGACACCAGAGTGCACCCGACCCCAAATTTCCAAATGACCCGCAAAAGTAACCACAAATTAGGAGAAATGACTTCAATATACAAAATATAGACTCAGCGATTAAGACATTGAAGTCAAATGGCAGTACTGGAACGGACGACAAACCATCTGTCATTTACAAAAATGGTAACACGGAAATGGTAGTCTTGTTACTTAGAATATTTACTCTGTCACTGGAAACTGGAACTTATCCTGAAGTGTGGAAAACCAAATACATATTACCTAAGCACAAAGCAGGGGCCAAAACCAGTGCATGCAACTATAGACCTATTAATATAACACCGGTAATATCACGAATAATGGAGAAAGTGGTTAAAGACCAAGTGTCAGACAACTTACTAGAACATGAACTTATCAATCCATCACAACACGGATTCCTCAAAAAGAGATCATGTGTGACTTGACACATAGACTTTTTCAATGAAGTTACACGAAGCCGGGACAACATAGAACTAGTAATTGTGCTATATTTCGATATAACAAAAGCCTTCGATAGAGTCCCCCATAATCTGCTAGTCTACAGGTTATGCTCACTAGGGATATGTGACCCTCTCCTGAGCGGGATAAAATCATTACTCTGTGACAGGAATCAGATAACAAAAGTTGGCTCGATAATCTCAAGGCCTAAACCTGTAAGTAGTGGTGTAATCCAGGGAAGTGTATTAGGCCAACAGCTATTCATAATATATATAAACAGTATCTGTGAATGCTTTAGTGTTGGTAAACCAATACTATATGCAGAAGACTTAAAAGTGACCTATAAATGGAATAACAGCAAACGCCATACAGCAAGAATTAGAAAAAATGGACAGATGGTGTGACACCTGGCAACTCCAGTTTAATGTCGACAAATGTGGCTGGCTCTGCATAGGTTGCAACAATTTAGAACTTGACCTGACAATTCAAGGCCATGCACTCTTACGACTGGAATCTGTATTGGACATAGGACTGAAATACTCACATGACTTATCATTTTCTGAACATATCTCCAAACAAGTGTCAAAGTCACGCAGACTTATCGGTTTTCTACTCAGGAACTTTTACAGAAATGAGTCCAGAATTCTGTTGTACAAGGTTTGTGTGCGTCCTTTATTTGATTACTGTTCATTCATATATAGTAGTATACGCATAGAGGACAAATTGAAAGTCGAGGGAATGCGGAGGTACTTCACGTCAAAATTACTCGGAACCGAAAACGGTGCGAACTATTCCACTAGATGTGACACCCTAGGATTAGAAACACTATGGCTAAGACGCCTGAGACTAAACTTAACACTTTACTATGAGCTTCTAAACCACTTAGTTTTTACCTCTACTAATGACATTCGACTTTCAGATGACAGTGCCTACAAACTAAGGCACACTAAGGGTACAGTAGCTATCGAACAATGTAAAACAGCTACCAGGCAAAAGTTTTATTTGATTAGGTATGCACAGATATGGAATAAACTACCAATGGAAATGCGCCAAGCAGGTACATTGGCCTCATTCAAAAAAGTGCTTAACGACAAACTGCACGAGTTTGCAAACGACAGTAGTCTTAGTTCCTATCTGAGAGCCTCCGAAATTATAGGTCCATTTAATGTATAAGCTCAAATACTACACCTGTTGTTTTTGCCTATATTTATAATTTTAGATAAAACATTAACGATTAAGATACTAACCCTCAAAAATAATATATTTCTTCCTGTTTATGCAGGAACATACCAATTGTACAGGCATGGCTAAGTTATTATATAAATTACACATAATTTGACGTATGATGAATTTACAGTTTGGTTGTTCTATCTGACATGAGAGTCAGTCGGAACAGTCTGCTATAAAGTCTGTAAAAGTAGCACATAAAGAGATATAAAAATATTGTCTTCGCATTAAAAAAAACCAGACATCAGATGAATGTAATACGGATATCTGGGAAAAAAAGCTTGAAGTCAATTCTCTTATATAACTTTGTTGTGAGGAACACCCTTGGTTTGAAGTTTATTGATGTATTATGTTGAGATCAGTGATGTATTTATTCCACTTTTTCAGCGGTCTTATCGTAGTTTTATAACAGGAAAGAAATTTGACCGTGGATACGAAAACTAGATAAGGTCATATTAAGTTGTTTTACTGCATCAAATGGTGTCGAGGTCGATTCCAGAATTCTCCATTTGCTCCATTTGTGTCTGCATGGCGGACTGTATTCGTAAGTTCAGAAAAATGTTGAAAACCAGTTGCTTCTTCATTTCAGATCATGAATACTCATTTACAGCATGTTCGCCAGCGTCTTCAAATGGTAGAATTGGATCGTTCATGGAATTTGAGTGGTTATGATATAGATGGTTTGGAATTAATCCTCATTTCAATTTAGATGCAGGGTTGTTCGACCTCGACCAGAAGATGAATAGGAGTAGCAGGGTGCCAAAAATAGAAAGTATGTGAACATTAAAAGTATATTAATGTATATATGTAAATGTTTAAGTCAATTTTATAACATATAAGTAAAAAATTACTTTTAATTATAGTTGTCTTTTCACTTTATTTATGTGAAGTCTTAGAGTTTATTTAGTGTCATAATGTGTATTAATGAGTCTGAGCGTTTTAGTGTTCTAATGACTGATGCGTTTTAGAAGTAATTAATGGTTTCTGGTAGGGGTAGTCATTGGAATAAAACAGTTTACATAGCAAGCGTTTGAAGGTTACGATAAAGTGACACGTCCTATATCTAAGGGTAAACTAATCCTCTTTGTTCTGTACTAAGCCTTTACGCATCCATGCTGCTAGTTTATTTATAGTTTTTAGATTGCTAAGAGTGTTGAAATGCGTCTTTTAGGTGCTGTAGTAGATTAGTAGTTGATTCGTTTTAGGAGTAAATAGTTTATTAATATAATCAGTAGAGTGAAACAGTCTGTACAGAGAGCGTTTGAAGCTTGTAACCGAAGAGCAAGTTCTGACATCTAGGGGCAGGCTATTCCATATTTTAGAATACATGACTGTGAAGAAGGTTTCACGGAGTGTTGACCTAAAAGAATGAGTTATCACTGTGGAAGTTTGGTTACGTAGATCGTAAGAACCTTCCTGTGCGAATTGTATGTCCCTGTTCCCTGAGAATGGTATTTTGCGAAGGACCTTAAAGAAGAATATTAGGTTTATAATAAGTCGCCTTGTCCAAAGTGGGTCAAGTTTTAGGATCATGCACCGTGAGATGTAGTCTTTCTTACAATCGTAGCCAAGTAGTTTTGAGGTAAAATATCGTTGGATACTTTCCATCCTTAGCTTGTCACGTGTGCGAGTGCTGCTTATAATAAATGGACAGTATTCTAGTAGTGGTCTGACGCATGTTTTGTACAAAATTAGCTTGGCTTCATTGTCGTGAAAGTTCCTGAGTATGCATCCTAAGAGCATCCTCGATTTTCTAGTCTGTGCTGCTACTTGCTCAGAGAATGTCAGGTCACTAGAGTACCTAAGGCCTAGGTCAACGACACTTCGGAGTCTTGTTAGGTTAGCAGATTGTAGCGTTAATTTCAGGTCAATTGAGGGTGCGCCAAAGCAGATCCAGCCACATTTGTTCAGATTGAATTGGAGATTCCACAGGGACGACCAAGCAGTCATTTTATCTAATTCCTTCTGCACTACATTCTCGAAGTTCCCTAAGTCATCACTTTGGAATGTATAAGTTACTTTTAGGTCATCCGCAAAGATGAATGGTTTCTTGTGCGTGAAGCAAGCGCATATGTCATTGATGTATAGCGTACGGCTCCCTGTAGACTAACCACCATTCTTCAGTATACACACACTGCAGTATTGTTAAAAAACGCCAAAATTTCGTTGGTTCTGTGTTAATATCTTTTTATAATATGTCTAGACACGTTACTTTGCAATGTCAGATGTTTACTATATATAAGACTGTCATGAAAATTTAGTACACTAAGTCCTGCCAACCGACCTTACCTCCAGTCCATACTACCTAAATTGAACCTTAACTATAGTATTCTGCTAAATCTTGCTCCACTATTCACAATACCTATTCGTTTTACTCTTTAAGGTTTTAACTTCTTATAAAGTAATCTGTTCATCAGGATGCATGCACACATATATAATATGTTCGTAAAGATGTACGCGGAGACCTATTGGAAGCATTCATTAAGAAAGCTAGGGAGATGGAATGTGGGGTACGAACATGTCTGGTACCAAGCAATATATTTGCGGTAGCCATAATAATCATAGTCTCAGAGCCTAACATCAAAAAAGGAGGGAGGGTGGCGTTAGCTGATCAGTAGATATGGTGGTGGTCACTAAGGTGAATCGCCCCATTCTGCAGGAACAGCAATATACAAATTAAAGGCTCGAGATATTTCTGATTTTTATGAGGGCTTAGATCTTTATCTTGAAAAAGATAATAGTGAACGCCTTGACAGATAATGCTTCTACCTTTAAATATATACCATTCGCTCAGCCTATTGTTGAGATGCGACCACGTGGGATCTGCACAGATTTATGGGGCATCTTATGAATTAACTTGCTATCCATTGTCAGATCTTTAAATACCACTTCACAATATCTTGTCTCACTTATTTTCTAATAACGTCTTTACTTGATTCTCATTATATTCCTTTAAACCTAACATTTTATAGCTCTTTATGAATTTGATTCGACTTATTCTATTCCTATTCTCTGGAGGGTACGGTTGTGCACCAAATAGAAAAAAAGACATGAAATAAAAACAACTGGCTTGAAAATAATTGTATTAAAGCCAAAAGTGGACACATGATAGTATAAAATATATTGGTTTTATTATACATTGCAAATGAGCGTTATCGGCCTAAGGATTAATTACTTCCCCATTCTGTTTTCTATATAAATGTGTTTATTAATGATATATTTCACTCACTTAATCTATTACACTTTAATGTTACACCACAGCACATTAATTTTTCTAAAACAGCTTTCAATCCCTTGTAAACGTTGTACTTACCTCAATATTGGTTGATCATCGTATGCCTACAACCACGGGATGAAAACGAAACGAAGTCGATTTTCCCGCTCAACCTGGAAGACAATTGTACAATTCAATAACTATACAGCCTAGTTCAGACAATGTGTATTTATATATATATCAAATATTTAACTGTTGAAACATTATTAACTTGTAGACAATTTAAGATTTGACATTATATCATCCTTGATCGTGCCTGTAAAAATGGCATGCATTTTCATGTAAATTTATATGTTTATATGAAAATAAATTATTATTATTATTATTATTAAATAGGAGAGGTTCAATGACACTACCTTGTACTACACCAGAAGTGATAGGGCTGGGTTTGGAGGTTGCAGACCCGAGTTTAACTATTTGGGACCTATTGTTAAGGAATGATTTAAGCCAGCCTAATAATGGGTCACGTATTCCTAGAAGTTTTGTTTGTAAAACTTCTACCCAACACAATAAGTGGAACAAAATGGACATAAACCGACAACATGAAAAAGGTTATAACTCACCACAACATCACATGGACAGATGTACGCTCGTCGGACATCATATATGCATCACCAACTACAACCCAACATTCCTGAGATAATGTATATTCTCATATAAACATATAAATTTACATGAAAATGCATGCCATTTTTACAGGCACGATCAAGTATGATATAATATCAAATCGTAGATTGTCTACAAGTTAATAATGTTTCAACAGTTAAATATTTGATATATATATAAATACACTCATTGTCTGAACTAGTCTGTATAGTTATTGAATTGTACAATTGTCCTCCAGGTTGAGCGGGAAAATCGACTTCGTTTCGTTTTCATCCCGTGGTTGTCGGCATACGATAACCAACCAATATTGAGGTAAGTACAACGTTTACAACGGATTGAAAGCTGTTTTAGAAAAGTAAAAGTGCTAAGGTGAATCAATAAAGTGTAATGAAATGGGTAAGTGCAAGTATCACTAATAAATGCATTAATAAAGGAAACTCCCTAGGCTGACAACGTTCATTTGCAATGTATAATGCTTCCCGTATAGTTTGTACTATCATGATGTCCACTTTTGGTTTTAATACATTTTTTCCTTATGTCGTTTTTTTATTTTATGCCTTTTTGTGCATTTGGTGCACAACCGTACCCTACAGAGAATAGGAATAGAATAAGTCGAATCAAATTCATAAAGAGCTATAAAATGTTAGGTTTAATGGAATATAATGAGGATTAAGTAAAGACGTTATTAGAAAATGAATGAGATAAGACATTGTGAAGTGGTATTTAAAGATCCGACAATGGACAGCAAGTTAATTTATAAGATGCCCCATAAATCTGTGCAGAGCCCACATGGTCGCATCTCAACAATAGGCTGAGTGAATGGTATATATTTAAAGGTAGAAGCATGATCTGTCAAGGCGTTCATTATTATCTTTTTCAAGATAAAGATCTAAGCCCTCATAAAAATCAGAAATATCTCGAGCCTTTAATTTGTATATTGCTGTTCCTGCAGAATGGGGCGATTCACCTTAGTGACCACCACCATATCTACTGATCAGCTAACGCCACCCTCCCTCCTTTTTTGATGTTAAGCTCTGAGAATATGATTATTATGGCTACCGCAAATATACTGCTTGGTACCAGACATGTTCGTACCCCATATTCCATCTCCCTAGCTTTCTTAATGAGTGCTTCCAATAGGTCTCCACATACATCTTTATGAACATTATATATGTATGCATGCGTCCTAATGAACAGATTACTTTACAAGAAGTTAAAACCTTAAAGAATAAAAAGAATAGGTTTTGTGAATAGTGAAGCAAGATTCAGCAGAACAATATAGTTAGGGATCAATGTAGGTAGTATGAACTGAAGGTAAGGTCGGTTGGCAGGACTTAGTGTACTAAATTATCATGACAGTCTTGTATATAGTAGACATCTGACATTGCAAAGTAACGTGTCTAAACATATTATAAAAGATATTAACAGAAATACTACATAGCTTTAACATTATGAATTTTAGAAAATTATATGAGAATGGGTAACTGTTGACTGAAGATAATCAATTCAACTCAAAAATAGTGCAGTGTATTATGCTAATAATATAAGTATATTCGTAAAATATTAAAAGATATGGTTGCTAATGTAATGGTTTTCGGAAATAATTATACTGACGAACTTATTGAAGATTACAGTGAAGAGGAAACCAGTGAGTTAGTTAAATGGCTACTGTGCAGTTAGTAGTTAAAACGTCTTTTTAAAAAGTAAAGGGTAGAAGAGTTTTGAGCACCGGAGCAAATTAAGTCATATTCTACTGAGTAGAGTGTAGTGAGTAGTGGTACGATTAGGGATAAGGGTAGGTTGAATGAACTTGGGGAAAATGGTTGGTTGGTTGAGTTTGTTATTGCTAGGTATTCCTGGCCACTTTTCATATGGCATGCTTTAGACATTACAAAGTACCAGTTTGCTTATATTATGGGAGAACTATCACAACTAATTTGGGATTATACATCCAGGAGAGTCTAATGAGTTTATAAACCCGATTGAAGAAATATCGATAGGATCTCTAGTAAGCTGAATAACCGGACCTTAGGTAAAGGCATGTGGGAGAGATTAGGTTGGTTTTATCACGTTATAGATGAGGTACGGTTGCCGGGGCAAATGAGTTTCCTCAAATTGGGGGTATTGCACTGGGGTCTGTAGTACTAAAGCTAGTTGAGCGGCCCATATGGATAAAGTATGGATAAGTAGACCGAAGCTCTTTTGTTGATAGGAACTCGTTAAGTAGACGCTGGAATTCAGTAGGAGATCGGCAACTACGTACAGTAAGTGGAAGTTCGTTCCATAATGCACTGTACTGTATTTTAAAGAAACGTGATCGCAGTTTTGTCCGGAACCGGCTTATGGATAGAGTATTTTCATGATTCCTAAGAGTATATATGGGTAAATTATTGAAAGCTATTGGATTACTGCTTTTG